AGTTAGCTCCACAATAATCATTGACAATATGCCTCATGTCACTGACGATGGTAAATACTTGTAAAATTGTGAACCAAAATTTTGAAAGACCTTATGATGATACGCATGTGTGGTGCATTGCCTTTATGTATATATATTTTTTTTACTGTCTACCAACTTTATTTAATAAGCGAGTATAAGCGCCAAGAATTTAATTGCTAAAATTAGCATGAAATGATAAAATTTTATAATTACTTTAATCTGAAATTTTAACCTTGTAAATAAAAAGCTTTTTACCAAAAATTTATAACCATATCTTTATTTTTTGTTTTCTTGGAAGGTAATGTTTGATTATCGTGAAGATCTGGTCTATAACAAACATGTTTTTTTACATCAGATGTTGAATTTGAATCCATTTTAGAAATGCAAGATTATGAAACAAACATCAAAACTGTGATCTGTAGTATTATATTTGTAGTGTCCATTATCTCTTGTGTTCTATCTTCCAATAAGAACTTAAAATCAGATAAATTTTACATATATCACCTCATACAAGTCAAAGCCTCATGAAGAAAATTCTTCATTTAAATTGCAAGTTTTGGATGCATGTGACACAAAGAAAATTAGTATAGGCCCAGAACAAAGTATAAGACTAACAGATATGTAAAATTATGCTAAAAGTAAGAAACAATGGAATAACAATCTACCTGAATGGAGATACTGAGAAATGTGATTTGCCCGTTTGTAGATATTACAGAGGAAGAATCTTAACTTTTAAAAAACTTGCATTGAAATGTATGCTAAATGAAATGTCATCATAAATACTACTTAAACATGTGTTGCTAACAGTGGCGGCACTACAGGGGGCAAGGAGGAGGACATTTGCCAACCCAAATTTTTTCTTGCCCCCCCCCCCCAAAAAAAAACAACAACAACAACAACTTAATCTTATATACACAGAGCAAATGTAATGTGTATAATAAGAAAACACATTTGCACACACACTACCTTTCTATGGGATGTATTGTTTTCTTGTATGCTAGAAGTTAACTAAATATATCCTACAATAATAGTTATTCTCTTTAACCTTACTTTATTATACTAATGGTACTACTGCACTAAATAATAATTTATTTAATTCAATAATGCTCAAAAGAACATTATTCACCAATTCACTTTTAGAGGGACTTTGATATCCCCCCCCCCCCCACAGGGAAAAAAAAATTAAGCTAGATATGTTAGAATGGTCAAAAACCTTCTGATCCTTTCCAAGATCTGTGAGTATTTAGGGGCTTGAAATCACAATACTTTTAAAGTACTTTTTCAAACCCAACATTGGCTCAATGTAATTTAGCATGTTAAAATTTGGGGGAATAACGAGTCCCTTTAAAATTACACAAGTACAAGATGTATTGTTTTGACTCCCAAATGGGAAAAAAGAAAACTGTTGTAAAGTAATTTTTGAGGAAAACAAATCATTTGAATGAATGTTATTGAGTTAGTCAACAAATGTTGGAGATAAAAGAATTTTAAACACCAATTTTGTATTATTTTATACCTATGTACATTTGTTAATAGTTTTTAACTATTTTACATCTTGACCTAAAAAAATATACAATATACAGTGGGTACCTACATGGTTATATCAATGTGGAGAAAGCCACTAAATAAAAATATGGACAGCAAGACTAGAAGAATTAAGTTTAATGTTTCTGGCTTCATAATATGTTTTATGGAGTTAAATTTCAATAACTGCTTAATCTTCAAAGCAGTATTTTTTAAACTTTTTCTTCCACCATATGTTTTACAATGAAGAACCAAATGGACTCCATGTAGCTAATTGCAGAGTACAGAGGTATAAATAGAAGGAAAGTTAGAAGAAAGACAGTTTCAATCAGAAAATTACAAGAGGAAAATTTTGGCTTGCAAAGGATTCAGGTAGGTGGAAATCTGATGCAATTAGAGCTATTTAAACATGGAGAAGGAAGAATTGAAACAAAGATATCCTGGTGTTATGAGAAAAAAATTCTATATATTAAAAGAGTTCAATCATATGATTTCTCCAGATCACACCGCTACAATTCACTAATCACAACTAAAGCATTAAGGAAGAGTTACAAGAAAATCAGTAACTCTTAGAAATTTCTAATAAACAAAAGAAGCAAAAACAGGATATAATTCCTGAACTTGGAGCTCATTAAAATAGGCCTCCATGTATAAAGGGTAAAGAATGAAAATCATAAATGGGAGGAAAAAGGTTGAATTCAACTTTCACATACAGGTGATTATACATAAAACTACACACTTACAATTATTGTGTCTTAAAAATTACCCATCTTACTGCATATCTAAACTGGTTTTCTTTATTTCTCTTCTTTCTGGTTCTTTACACAGTACAAGATTGGGAGTTCAACAAAGCACATGTAAGCATGCAGGATTGTGTAAAAGTGATTCTACCGTGTTTTAAAATAATGTCAGTTTTACTTTGGTTAAAAGCCATTTTTCAAAGAGAAAATGGATGTTCACTTCCAGACCAATAAAATTTCAGGATACTGTACCAAAGAAAATTCACTTTGGAATAGCCTACAATATGGGCAGGATTTCAATAGCTACAAAATCCAGAGAATCTGAAAATGGGCATTAGAAATGAGAATGTGAGATTGAAATTCATACATAGGTCAGACAGGCTATCCCATAAAAACAAAGATTAAAGAATATTCTAGAAGCTGGATACTGAGAAAAACTAACTCATCTTTTGCATCACACTTTATGAAACTAAACTTAAATTTCATCTGGAAGAAAAACTGCAAAATTTTATGTATGTAAAAAAAAAATTAAAAAACAACAACCCTAATCGCTTGGAAATCTTAGAAATAAATACATGTATAAAAACAAATCCAGATAAAACTCTAAACGACCAGATCAACTTGAGCTCTTCCTTGCTTGTAGGTGAATGTCAATGTTATTTCCAGACTTTTGGTTAAACATGTATATATATACACATATACATATACACACACCTGTTTACAAGATAGTTCAGTCTATACCTGTTGATGCCTTACTTGAGCTCCTCCTTGCTTGTAGGTGAATGTCAATGTTATTTCCAGCCTTTTGGTTAAATATGTATACATATACATATACATACACCTGTTTAAAAGATAGTTCAGTTTATACCTGATGATACCTTTACTGGCAAAACCATGGTCATAATAAAGGAAATATTTGTGAAACAACAGTCTTTGTTTTTTTCAATTTTGTAATCATGGAATTTCATTACATACTGATAGTTTCAAGTATTGATTATAATAATTTCAAATATATTTTTAATATCTAAAATGAGTCTGTACTTTAAAATAAGGTCAGAAAAAACAACAACACAGAATGAAAACTTCATACATGTTTGAAATGACAGAAAGTATTTTCTCTTAAAACAAACTGGAGAAAATAATGTTGATGTGATAAGATTTCCACTCAACTATCAATATTCTCATACCTACATACCCTACGGTCAAAGAATGATGGGTAAAAATAGCTACAAAAGTCTACTCTATTATATTTGAACACACATAAATATATCCCTTTCTGGTATATGAAAAGAACTAAGTATGGAAGACATTAACACACAGGGCAGAAATGATATGTAGGCCATAATTAACCTACTGAAGAAACAAAAATAAATTTTCATCAACAAAAACTTTGAATGTCTGTATACTATATAAGAATATAGTATATTATATAAGAATAAAGTAATAAACATATTAAAACAAGATGTTAAGGAATGAATGGTTCCTTCATATTGCTCTTAGCACATGTTACGTATTTTACAGAACTGTTCATGATTGAGTAGTAAAATGCAGCATTCTATTTCAGGTAACAACAGAATGTAATGTGTCACATATTTTGTCTAAGATGCATCATTTTTTTTTAAACCTTATGGTTCCTCTAGTTTTATGATGTGAAGGAAATTTTGAAAATTAACAAACATCAACAAGAGCTGTTCAAGTGGGAACCCCTACTTACTCCCCACACTATATAACCTTACTTGTAAATTATGAGACCAATACTTTACACACGTGAAAGGGATGATGTGGTTTAAAGTAGTGATAGGATGGACTTCAATGTACACTCAGAAGTAAAAGTAGCAGTTTTAAGTACAAATGAGGCAAGTAAATGCTTGGGGGTCTTGAACTTGTGAGCTAAAAATAACATTTAAAATTAAAATGTAGTCATATTTTATCTACTGTAAAAGTCTAAGATATTTTATTTTTAAAACAGAAGTTAGCCAACTGTTTGAGTCTTAACTTGTATTTTTTTTCGAAGAGGTAACAGCTCCTCTAAACTTCCAATAGCAAACAACCAAATAGTGAAAATGCTTGACCTGATTATCCTGCTCATTGGGGCTGGTATTAAGGGTTAGAATCATATTTCAATATCTAACTATTCTTGCTATTTATAGAAAATGTGAAAAAATTTCTTTTAAACTAAGTTTTTATTTGAAATAATGTATATTTATATTGTGTGCATTTTTCATTATTATTATTATTTGTTGATTATGTTATTTTATCTATAATAATGGAAAATTTTTGTCTGAAACTGTTTTTGATAAATACTAATATATTATTGTCAAGCTACAAATACCGTAATTCTTACATATTCTGAATGTTATGTTTGTTTTTGTTTTGTTTTTGAATTTCGCGCAAAGCTACACGAGGGCTACCTGCGCTAGCCGTCCCTAATTTAGCAGTATAAGACTAGAGGGAAGGCAGCTAGTCATCACCACCCACCGCCAACTCTTGGGCTACTCTTTTTCTAACGAATAGTGGGATTGACCGTCACATTATAATGCCCCCATGGCTGAAAGGGCGAGCATGTTTGGTGGGATGGGGATTCAAACCCGCGACCCTCAGATTGCGAGTTGAGCGCCTTAACCACCTGGCCATGCTGGGCCTCTGAATGTTATGAAACATTATAGTACTTATCTAAGTAAATGCTAGAAATTATTAAGCAAAAACAATACAAACTGTTTGAGTGGATCAATATCTGGTTGGACACCACTTGGTAACTGCAGGTACAACAACAGTTTCTCAACATCTGAAAGTTGTCCAACATCTTCCTAATCAGAAAATGAAAAGGAAGCTTTAAACAAAGTTTAATTTTGTGAAAACGTCTAAACATACAGTTCAACATATACTTTAGAAATATTTATGGGGTGGAAGACTTTTTCAATTCTTACCTAACCAGTTATACTTTGAATAGGTTATTTACTTCTTTCATTACATATGATCTTAAATAGTAACTAGGAGAAAAAGGAAATTTATGAAAAGTCATCAAGTCATAGAAAATGCAATCATTGCATCGTGTACATAGTACATTCATCTTCCAGTCACCATTTATAATTATTTTTGGCTATGAGGGATTTAAAATTTATAAAAAAAGTAAAAACTATTACTGTTATTTGAAAAACTACATGTTATGTATATTTTCATTTTTGGTGATGCAAAAGTAATGACATAATAGAAAATATCTGTATTGCATTTGAAATGCCAAGGGACAAGATAAAGCACATTAATTTTACATCTTTTTAAGCTATGTTTACACTGATATAAAGTTTATGTTTTTGAGTAACATTTGGTTGGTTATTGAAGGCTTTAAGCATTAGTGATGGAGATTAGCTTTATGGTGTTCACTGTAAGCTAATGTGCATTTTACCTACATAGATCAATGATGAGTAATATAAACTAATCTATGGACCAGATGTATGGCCTCAAACACCCTCAAAACTCTCTTTACAAGACATGAGCTAAAAATTGTACATTTGGATACAGATAAATTAGATATGTAACATTTTTTATGGTGTGGGGGTTCTCAGGTTGATGACTAGGAAGCTGCATGGAGCCAAAAGTTGTTCACCAATTACCATAGAGAGTATGGTGTATAGTACATGTGTGTGTTCCTTGGCAGTTTCTTACCCTACTTTTGTAAAGAACTATTGTGATTATGTTTGCTGTTGACTTTGTAAAGCTGGAGAGGACTGAGTTACTGAGAAGAAATAGAACAAAAAATCTTGCTCATTACAATTATGCATTGATGTAATATAGGGGTTTCCAAACGTTTTAGCTTGAGGCTCTCAATACCTTTACCACCCTAATGATTTAATAGAAATTCTAAAAATAGCTACTCTCTGGTACCTCACTTTTATTATAACATGTTCTTTTTTAACCAAAATCTCAAGCACAAACAATTTTATGTAGTAACATTTTATTGCAATAAATAGAGTTCTTGCCAAAAAACATTGCTTTCTCTGGAGTCAGGAAAGTTTTAAACAAAATATTTCTACATGTGTTGAGGCCATCTTGTGTACCTCCAGTTTGGAAACCACTGTGTAATTTAAAATGTAAACATTTAAGAACTGGTATTTAGTTTAATAGTCTCAGAAATGTTTCTAATTTGATTTCTTTTAAAACAATGTTGAAAATTTAGGGTGTATAATGTGAAAAAGCTTATAGCATTTCTAAACATTTCTGATTTTATTCAGAGGTTCTACTGTAAGTGTTGTTTAATGTTCTTATTGGCTTGTGATCACAAAACCAGTCCCAAAACTACACAGTGATAGTGTCACTCAGATATTTTGTTATGGTTTAGTCCATTTTGTTACAATTTTATTACAAAGGTTAGTTTTATTAAAGTCATGAGTATTGAATGAATACTTAAGAACTTCTCAGTGCCTTCCCATTTTTCACTACTTGCTGCTTATCTGTATAAAGATAAGTGACTCCCAAAAATGAATAAAATTGCAAGGAACCATTTCATAATATTCCTCAAATGAGCAATACATTTCTCAGCCTTGTGTTTGGCCCTTTGAAATGTTTTTATCCAATTCTGAAAAGTCTGGAAAGCCTTAAGAAGTACTTCAATTTCACTTTATTTATAACTAATTTCTAATGTGTTTAATTGAATAATTTTGTCTATGTAAGTAATTATTAGATATAAGGTCAGGGTAATTTACTACATTCATGCAGGGCCATGAGAAATTTAAATTGTTAATTGTAAATAAGTTGATAAACATAAAAAGTTTATTGTATTGAATAATTAAATACACTTTTGGTATGATCCATTATAAAACACTACAATAACTCAAAAGGTAGTATATATGTTTGCAAAAAAAAAACACCTATTTCATGCCTAAATCTAACCTGTTATCTGCAATTTCTGGTAATCTAGACTGAAAAGAACACCATATTGTACATGCACATGCAGAAATGGAAAGAAATATTATTCATTTACACCATTTAACTTTTTCAGAACAAGGACCTTAATCCAAATTGTGGTTTTATAAAGAAATATGTAAAACACTGGTGTTATATTTCCTAAAAGGAGAGTCCATGGCTTGTAGAGATCATTATTTTGTAAAAAAATTATAATACATACTATAGTTTATCATGGAAGGAAAAATAAAATCTTTATAGCTGATAGCTTATTACAGCCTAACAAAACTGAAATTTTAAAAGGAAATATAGTATTAAACAAAACAGTCTCATGGAAGAGCACCAGTCTTCATCAGTAATTAAGAAATTATGTTGTAATAAAAAAGTAAACTTAAGTCACTAATAATATTTACTCAGACTGTCAGTATCAATGGAAGTTGAGTATAATATATTATAGTGACTTTGAAGTCTCAACATGTTGATACAGTCCATGTTGACACATCTGTTCATACTCTATATGATGATTTTTCATCTTAACATTAACCCTGCAATGTGGCTTCCATTGCAAAAGATTAGGTTGTAAGCTGTCACATCCAAAGCACATCACTCCTCCCTAGAGAGCAACCCTATTTCAACAGTCTGATCATATAGAAATCCATTGGTGCTCCAACCAGTGAATTGACTGGCATATCTTCAAATGGTATAGCATGAATACCCATTTCATTCTCCAACTGTTTGAGGTGTGTGACAATTGAACAGATATGTTGTGGAAGCACCTTATGTAAACATGACTTGTGTCACTTCTCCAGACTTAGATTCTTCTTGACTATGTTAGTACTGTTGCTTGGGTCATGTGGACAGCTTTTACCACTGACCTATGTAATCATGGATTTTCACCTATCAATGTGCCACACTTTGGTTATCATGGCTGAGGTATGGCTAGTTGCAAGTCTCTTTCTTGATGGTCCTGGTGCCCCAATTTCAAGCATATTGCTTTGTTTTCTACTGTCATTAAATACAAGGGATATTCCCAAACAAGAAATTCCAAATCTCCAATCTAGACACATCTTTATGATCTGAGAGAACTGAATAATTTGCATTGGACAGAGCTATCACATACATTTTAAAAGCAATAATTTTTTTTTCGCTATCACACTACCCATGAAATGCCAAACAATGTCAAAGCCAGTTGCTTTCACCTATTCAGTAGTTCAGCTACAACAACAACAAAAAACACACAAAAAAAACATTGGTGTTGGATTATCCCAGCCAATTGTCTTCCCTCTACTCATCAGTTCAACATTTGTGACAATGGTAGATAACCGTATTAGCTTTGCTATAATGAAGAAAAGGCAAACAAATTTGGTAGCAATACTTTGAATACTTGGATAGTTGGAATAAATGGAAACTTTAATTATGATTTATTAACTAGTCTACATGACACTAATTGATGTAATTGCTGCTCATGGATAATTGATTATATAAATTAATTGATTAAATTGCCCAGCTCTAGTTCTGATACATGCAGCTTTACAGCAACTTTATATCAGCCGTGGTTGTCACATGACTTGCTGATTTGCATATTCCAAATAATTTTAGAATAATGTACTCAACCCTATGTGTATATGTATTCTGGTCTACATTACTATTGTTAGATGCCTTTGGTAGCAAAATGATACTTTGTAGGCAACTTTTGTGAAGTTAGTCATATTGAGCTCTTTTAGGCAATTAGTTTAAATCTTTGTTTAATGGGGAAAAAAACATTTTAAGTGCATGGAAAGAAAACTGTTATGAAGTAATTTTTAAGGAAAACAAATCATTTGAATAAATATTAATGTGTTAGTCAATAAATATTTGAGGTAAAAAAATTTTAAACACTAACTTTGTATTATTTTACACCTATGTGCATTTGTTAATAGTTTTTTATCATAATAAATAACTGAGGGAAAGTCTAGAAGAAAGGAGGAGACAGTATGTCTCTCTAACAATTGGAAGGAAGCATTAACCATTACAAGGCCACAACAATGTACTAATTGATATCCTGAGATAAACACTATCTTCATCAAAATGGCATTGGATGAGATTTCATAAGAACAGGTAAGATGCACTTTGTGGATGCTATATGTATATACTCCCGGCCAAGGTACTCCACATATTGTCACCTGTTAAGTGAAATAATGGCTTGAGTTCCACAAGGCTGTCTTAACAAAGATGGTAATTTTGCTTCTTCTGAGTACTGAAGAATTATGCATCATTAAATTCTCAAAGGTAGCTGTTAAGATCACCAAAGTGGACAGGCAGAACATAAAACTACAAAATTCACCATAAAACAAATGAGAAGGAAGTAAGTAAGAACTTGAAAGACAAATTGAATGCCTCAGTTTGGTAGGGAAAACATAAATGTCAGTGTACAAGTAACGAGAAAATGAAATTAGAGAGGACAAGTGCATTTGAAGGCAAAAGTCTTGGAAAAAGTACAAAAAAAAATAGTTACCAAGGCAATACAAATGGCCTCAAATAGCATTGGTAGAAAGACTCCAATTAGAAAACAAGAATAAAAGATCCACTAATTACATTGCAAAAAGTAAGGTGGGGGGGGGGGACTCTGTGATACTGACACTTGGGGTGAAAACTTCCTGCTTGAACTTATAATATAGTGAAGTGGAAAGGAGCATACTAAAAAGATGAATTATTTTAAAATAGAATCCTGCTGGATGAGTTTGAATCTCACAACAACCGAGTTTAACCAATTATGTTATCTAACTTGAACTATTCAAAGTGGCCTTTATGTGCTCACCTAGACTCTCTAGAACTAAACATGAATACTACATTTTTGTATTGCTTACAAGTAGTATTTCAGATTATTTTGGTTGCCATGAATCAGTGCATTCTAATGATTACAAGTTTTTGATTTATAGCATTACATACTTCTAGTTAGACCAGTATATAAGATTAGCAATATTAATTACTAGGTTAAGTTTTACTTCTGACTTATGTAGATCTAAGTAGCCTGCTTTGATCAGAAGTTACTGATAATAGTCCATTCTAGCTGATGTATTCCAATACTGAAAAAAAAGCCTCCTATATGGTGATTTCTGATGGACAAAATTCAGGCTTGGCATGATAATTTTAAACTCTTCTATTTTAAAAGCTGTAATGGAAAAATTTTACTCAAAAAGTTTGAGTAAAACAAGATTTTAATCACTTTTGTTAGTTTTAAAAGCTTTACTGCTTTACCAGTTTAGGCATTTAACACCATTGAATAATTTATTAATTTGTTACTAAGAATGATAACAGGTTGTTAGCTAGTTCTAAAAAATAAATAAATTCTATCCTTTACTAAAGCGTAAAGCTAATAAGACAAAATAAAAAATAAATGAAGATCTAACAGTTATATTTCCTTCTTCACTAACATTTAAGAAAACTATGAATCACTTCAAATTTTAATTCATTCTAAAGTAAAAAATTCATCCCAAATTAAACTACAAATCACTTAATATCTAACTTCTTGTAAACTACAAATTCCTTTACATTTGAATTTCCTAAAACAACTTACCAAAATTCTTTCTATTTTCTTCTTTATATCTTCACTGAAAAAATAGATAAAACAATAAATTATTATATGAAAAAACCCTAAAAACAACATTAGCACTTTACAGAAAGTTGTTCTTGGTTTTGATTCAAATATAAGTTTATTTCTGTGCCTAATGTAGATGCAGTTGATGTCTACTAGCACTAAAAGTTTGAAGTTTTTTAAATAAGAGAAACATTCTCAATAGAATAACTCTGACCAACTTCTTAGTATCATAAGCAAATTTTGAGAAAATTACTGGCTAGAGAGGCATCCAAATCACAGACAATAAATAATGTAAAAAAAAAAAGTTCAAAAATAAACTCTTGTTTGAAGTAGCCATTACTCACATTCTCTCAATCAAAATATGTTAATTTAACTACACTCTTTGCTTTCTACAATACGCCTACTTTTGATCTATTTCTTTGTTTTACATCAAATCCACAGATATTCAAATTGCTGATACAGTAAAGCTATGTCAAGGTAAATAACGTAACTAGTGCAATAACATCACAAACAAGTGGAAGCACTATAAATGATAATCAAACAAGTTGATGAGCTAACAAATCTTTTTAAAATCATGCTGAATTATTTTATAAATGTCTTCTGACAAAACATTCAAACATCTTGCTGATAAACAATGCAAATCAAACTACTTCAAAAATCTACAATCTAAAGTGTCCCTATAGTGTCTTTGTATCCTTCATCAATCTCGTCCTTTTTGAAAAAGGTTAATCTTCCAATCATCAGGAATTTTTCTAGAGCCAAAATAATTTTTGTAAATAACAATTAAAAGTCCCAATAACTTTTTCTTGGCTTCTGCAAGGTTTTTGGATTAATCTCACTGAGGCAATAATTTTAATTCTAAAAGTTTCTTAAGTTGTTTTGCAATAAGCTTTCCCATTGTTATTGTGTTATATTCTCTCTTATTTACAGGATTAAAATTCATGTAAAAGATTACACCTCCAGCCAATATCCTTTTAACTCATACAAGAACATAAAGAAAGATGAGGTGCAAAAGGAAAAACAAACATAAATCAATTCAATATAAACCCCCACAAAGATCCTTCAATTACCATGAAAGACAGTTAAGAGATAATAAGGCCACTGCAAGAGCCTTTAAAAAATGTTTGACTTAATAAATATCATGGATAGTACAGTGATGGAGATGAAATGGAAGACAGAATAACAAGATAAAACATCTTAACTCTTTGCTTAGTCACTAAGCTTTTGGAAGAAATAGCAATAGTCAGAGTTAATGATATATCAATGTGAACAACATGGTCAGATGGCAAAAGTGAAATGAAACAAATCATGTCAGAGAAAATATTAAAATATACAAAGGATAAACAAGATGCGCCTCAGCAACGATGTTTGAATGACCATCACATCAAATGATATTTTATTTTCTAGACAAGAGAACAAAATACACAGAATACGCCAACATATGTTTCACTGGTCCGCCAGTGTATGCTGCAAGACAAATCATCAGATACTCAAGCAGAAATAATGGTAAACATTTAATTAGAAATAGAGCTTTTAGAATGGAGACAAAGTCTGCATCAGTAAAGTTTAACTGAATAATGTAAACCTACTTGTCTACAAAAATGCCTTTTAAAACTATCATATCATGACAGTAATGAAATCTTATTGTAAATCACACAACTTTACTAAAAGTACTGTACATTATAGTTCAAATAACAGAAATTATAACACTAACAGTAATACTAAAATTAAATAGAAAGCAAGTAATCCACTTTTCCATTACAGTTACAGTTTTGATGTGAGATCTGAAGTTTAGCTTACATTTAAAAGTACTTTACAAATTAGAATGTGCCATACACATGTAGATTAATTACATTTACATTTAATAATGCACAAATAAATACTTAGTACATTCTCATACATTTTTCATACTTTGAGAACAAGGTTTTGTAATCCTGATTATATTATTTACATACATAATTCTTGTGTTCCTTGCAAGTTTAAAATTTTCACTAGACCTGTCTATCTTATATAAATAGAATTCTTCATATATTATGATGTCATTTGGTCTTGCTATTAGTATTACATAAGTTAATGACTCAAATATATATAACTCGTAATTTCCATAACAATCTGGAGTCTTAATTAATAATCACTCAGTAAACATCTTCAACAAATTCTATTACCATCTTAAACTTAAAGTTGCAAGTTGTGACATTATAGGGTATACTGATCAAAATACTCAAATGATAATAACAGAGGACAAACCTCACTGAATTTTGTAAACAAGCTTTAATGTTTTCTGACTTTGAGGCAACCTCTTTATTCATGTTATTATCATTAACACTAACAGCTTCCTTTTTATTTTTCCCAAGTGATGATACTGATGATGTTCTTGACACGTGCTCTTTTATGTCATTGGGAGAATTCATGCAATTCCGACTAACGTTTGAGAGTTCGCCTGCAGATTGTACGCAACGACGATCCCCTTGATCATATCCTATAGTATTACTACGATTCCTGTTTTCCGTACATCTGAAGTTGACATTAGGCCTAAATTTAGGCTTACAGCCACTTTCGATACCATTGACGCTATTGCCAATTTCGAGTTTGTTCGTAGCACAACATTGATCCCCATTCAAGTCATTCTCTGGCGATATATTGACTTTCTTATTAATTATCTTACATACTTGGGTTTGCAAAACAGTTTGGGTTGTATCCATAACCAAACTCTCGCCAAACTTCTCCTTTCGTAGAATTTAGGAAAAATTTCAAGTCAACAGACAAGAAATTTGTGTCGAACAACTCTACCAATCTTACCATCACCATCTTGTTCACATAATCAGCTGTCTACCAAAATGATAAACATCCGGCGAGATATATTCTAATCATGAGTATGTTAAAAAATTGAAAATATTGTGAGAGCAATACTACAATTAAGTACATCGTAAACAGTATAAGTGAATAAAAAATATAAATAGATCTATAATTTTATATAAAGCATATACATTAAACATTATGATTACGTCGTTCTTTAAAGTTGTTGGGTTTTATTAATATTAGTGACTTTTACAAATGGGACACTTATTTCATATGATATTAGAGCTGTTATTTAAAAACATCAAACAACATTGTTTTTTTATTGTATTTAAATATACTATCCTGTTTTCGAAGAGCAAAACATAATAAATTATTCAAGACCATGATTCGTAACCTATAGTTAAATGGCTCCTATTGTCATGTTTTGACACCCACGTTTCTAAAACCAGTGACGTATTGTGGTCACATGGAACTGAATAACAATATAATATGTATCTGCTTGTTTCCTATAAAATGAAAATAATCAAATCTAAAACAAAATATTTTATCAACGACTGTTTTCTTTTTTGTTTGATTTGATTTTTGCCCCTATTACTTATATCATTGAAGTTGTAAAAGAATATTAGAAATAATATTGTGATGTTTTATTATACTCACATATTTTGACAGATTCACATTTTGAATTTTTATTGTGATAACCATAGATACAAATAACTCTAGATTGGCCAGTTACTACTCTTTAACATTGAGGAAAATGTGGGCATGCGGTCGCCATTGCTATGTGTTGAAGTTCGAACTGCAGACAATGTAAAATGGCTGAGAGTGACAGTCGTCCGACTAAGTTACGAACCGAAAGAACAAAGGGAACACAGTGCTATGTCATTAACCGTTACATATTCCATAATCAAAAGTCGAAGGCGGAGGGTGTTACATTTCACAAGTTAGTAAAACCTTTTTTTTTTCACCAATAATATATTAAGTTATAGTGGACGACACCGTCTTGGACATGTTGGCAACATCCAATTGGCGTGGATGTTTACATCTAGTTTCAAAGTATGTTTGCGAGTCTTTCTTGGAAGCCATTTCACCTACACAAGTCAGCATGACCGTTTGAAAACTTTTGATTGGAAATGCTGACAATATTAACTTCTCATATAAGTTGAAGTAATCATTCACGACATTTTATGTCGCCTGCTTGGCCAGTCAGGCTTTACAGAGATGCCGCCAAAACATACACTGTCTACAGATATGAGTTATGTGTACATTTACTTCGATGCTATCACTGAGTGTCAAGGTAGAAGTTTATTAAATATACCACTTTGCTTAATGGATGAGAGAAGAAATTTGGGTTAATTTGTATGGTTTAAGACAAGTCTAGTCTGATCAGTGATGTTATGGCTTATCCCGGAAACATTCAAATATAGGCTTAATACTGTTAGTGGACTCATTCTCAGAATTACATGAAGATTAAATTTTGGCAGGTGGCCCCTACCACTCCAAAATCCTTGAGCTGTCAGTGTCATTATGATAAATAATCAGTATGCAGTACAAGTGACTTGAAATATTTTATGTTGCTTGAACAAAAAACAAAACATATTAATGTAACTGTGAAGAGTGCTTATAACAGAGTGAGCCTAGTTTTATTACAGTATATATATGTACATGCTTTTCTATTTTGTTACATTTAATTGTAATGTATGTCTATTAGTTAAATGCATTAGATGTATAAATGTTTTGCACATTGCCGACTGTGTATTTGCATGTTCACATGAAAAAGAAAGTACTGCCCAAATGATTATCACATGAAACAGCAGAATTTGGCTACCATATAATTATGAATTGCACAGTACTATGCAAAAGTGTTAGGACAAAGTCAAAAATTAGATTTCAGGCATTGTTGCAACATATTTAACCAAAATATCCTTTGGGATTCTACTCCAAATGTCTCTAATACAATCTGTGTGGCTCTGTGAGGGCCATTGCATCATTTCATTGACTCCAGCAGCTTCTTTCTTAGCTAAATAATTTTGTGCATAGGTTCGATGAGTGTTTGGGGTCATTATATTCTTGGTTGTAGAATCCTTTAATAATAATATGCAAGCCACTGGGTATACATGACAGATCAGTATCTGATGGTACTTGTGCTGGTCCATTATTCCATCTAATTTGCAAATATGTCCTGTCGCCTCAGCAGAAAAACACCCCTAAACCATCACACTGTCCCCCCCCCCCATGCATCGTGGTAGGTGCTATGCATTGAGGTAAGTGTCTTTCACCTTTCTTCTGCCGGACGTATAACCTACATTTTGAACCAAATATTTCAGACTTGGACTCATCCGTCCATAACACCTTTTTCCAATCATCAATCGTCCAGTTTTG